TCTATTTGATTTTCTTGTCACCTCCCTGACCATTTCACTTTCCTCTGCTGCTGTGTCCTGACTCGGAATTGTTTCTCAATGTAGGAATGACTCATGGCTTAGTCCTTGAACCTCTTCTTATCTCTGTCCACACTCAACTGTGTTTCCTCATCATCTCATCTCATGGCTTTAAACTCCACTGTATTAGTGCGTTCTGGAATTGCTACAACAAAATTCCAGAGACTAAGTAATTTATTAAGAAAACAGGTTTAACTGGCTCACAGTTCTGCAGGCTGCACAGGAAGCATAGCGACATCTGCTTCTGGGGAGCCTTCAGGAAGATTCCAAACATGGTAGCAGGTGAAGTAGGAGCAGGCGTCTCACATGGCGGGAGCAGGAGCAAGAGAGAGTGAGGGGGGAGGCGCTACACACTTGGAAACAACCAGATCTCGCGAGAACTCACTATGATAAGAACAGCACCAAGGGGTGGTGCGAAACCATTCAACACAAATCCACCCCCATAATCCAACCACCTCCCACCAGGTGGGAGGATGCACCAGTAACAGTGGGGATTACAATTCAGTGTGAGATTTGGGCCAAGGACACAGAGCCGATCCGTATCACCCACCTACCCACCTACCCACCTACATGTCTCCATGTTCCCTGCAGACCTGTCCCCCGAACTCTAGAATTCTGTATCCTGTTGTCTCCTCAGCCGTCCGTGCAACCGTCTAAGAGACATCTCCACCTATATGTGTCTAAAGTGACTTCCCCAACTCCCCAGGTACATTCGCCTGCACACCTGAACATCTCTCCGATGACGGTGGCCCTATACTTCCTGGCTTTAGCTTTACATTCAGCATATATTTGAAATAGAGAAGATATGACATTATATAGAAGGGTTTTAATTCAAATGATAAATAAAAGTTACATTTACCTAAAATGGTAGGGAAATGCATAGTTTCTAAAAGTGTTGTGAGCTGTGGAAGAAAAATGTTTGAAGACCTCCTGCCTACCTGATCTGCTGCCTCGGGACCTCTCTGACCTCCTACCTGTGTCCTCCTCACTCCCTCTGCTCCAGCCACACAGGCCTCTCCTATTCCTGGAGCCGAGGTTACTCCTGCCTGAGGGCGTCTACCTGGGCTGTCCCTGTGCCTAGAACTCTCTGGCCCCTCAGTTGCAGATAATCTGGCAAGATTTCCCCCATCCCGAGCTGCAAAGGTGCCCTCTGCCACCAGCATCACATGGGGTTTCCTACTCATTTAAACAAAACTTACTACTATGTTCTTTTTACATTTTGAGGATCTGGAGAAAATGGCAAGGCAAAGAAAAGTAACTTTGAAACAACCAACCTGCTTTTAGTTTCCTGATTTTGCTCCATTCAGCCCTTTCAGCTTATGAAGCCAACCTCTTCCCCTCAACGCCTTTCATATTAAGAATGAGGTGTTGTCTGATTCTAGGATTGCAAATAACAGCCAATAAAAGCAGGTCCATATTTTTGCTCTATGTGTTTCTTTCTGGCTCTTTGCCTTCCACTTTCTACAGACTGGTAACAACAAGGCCCCAAGGGGAGATCAGAGCTGGGAGATTGGGGCTGTGGTAGTCTTGCCCCCTTTGAGATGTACTCAATCCTGGCTTCAGACTAGAGTGCTAAGGCATTTGTAACACATGGTTCTTTCCCCTGTATAGAGATTCTCCTTCCAGTAGTAAGGGTGGGCCCAGCCTCCATAATGTTTAAGAGGTACCCAAGTTGATGCTTTTTTTTTTTTTTTGGAGATGGAGTCTGTCTCTGTCACCCAGGCTGGAGTGCAATGGCTCGATCTGGGCTCACTGCAACCTCTGCCTCCCAGGTTCAAGCGATTCTCCTGCCTCAGCCTCCCAAGTAACTGGGATTAAAGGCGTATGCCACCACGCCTGTCTAATTTTTGTATTTTTGGTAGAGAGGGTGTTTCACTATGTTGGCCAGGCTGGTCTCGAATTCCTGACCTCAGGTATCCACCCGCCTCGACCTCCCAAAGTGCTGGGATTACAGGCATGAGCCACCGCTCCCAGCCCCAAATTGATTCTCATTTGTATCCAGCATTGAGCTTCAAGCCTCTGTATCCTCCATTTCCCAGGGCAGAGCTCAGCCTGTGACCCGCAGAGGTGAGGGAGTGCTGCGCTCTGCATGGGGTTTAATCACAGATAGGTCCTTGCCCTGAGTGGGAGCTCAGTCCAGCCCAGCTACCCTCTGCTGCAGCCTGTGTGTGGGCGTCTCCCGGAGGGGAGCTAGTGCTGAAGAAAACGGTGAAAGATTCACTTGGTCTTTGTGTAGGAATGTATTAACCTTGCATCCCCCCAGTGCGGTGGGCTGTCGCTCCACATGCTGAGGCCTTCCCTGTGTGCATGGTTGTGATACAGAAAGTAATGTGTTGTTTCCAAGCATTAAACAACAGATTTTTTACTTTTAGGTTTGATGTGTGAATAATTACATTGACTGAGAAAGAAACCCAGAAGAGGAAGAAGAGGAAAGAAAAGGAGTCAGTGATGGCTACTCAGGTAAAGTGATATTTTACTCAGGTAAAGTGACATTCTTGGTGGGTCATTCTGTCTCCTTCCTTTGTGAAGTGCAGGACGTTGGAGTTGCAAATCTTCTCTGCGTCTGAAGCTTCCTTCCTGACACATTTGCTCATGCTCATCCATGCCTTTCCTCAGTTCCTCTCATCTTATTTACATTCCATCTCAGCATGACCGAGGGACATGAACTTGGGAAGAGGCTGTACTGGGCATGGTCCTGGGGCGGGCTCACACCCAGACATGGATGGGGACAGGGTGTGGGCCCCGTGGTATCAGAGCTGTTGGGCAGCAAGGATTGTTTGGGGGCCACATTGGAGGCACTGTCAGCTCTCTGTAGACCAGGAATAGAGAAGCTGCCTGTGGAAGTCACATATTAATGGGCATAAATATCTAGTAAATTATCGAAAGCGGCCAGGCGCCGTGGCTCATGCCTGCAATCTCAGCACTTTAGGAGGCTGAGGTGGGCAGATCACTTGAGCTCAGGAGTTTGAGACGAGCTGGCCAACATGGTGAAACCTCATCTCTACTAAAATTACAAAAATTAGATGGTCATGGTGGCAGGGACCTGTAATCCCAGCTACTCTGGAGGCTGAGGCGGGACAATAGCTTGAACCCGGAGGTGGAGGTTGTAGTGAGCCGAGATGGTGCCACTGTACCCCATCCTGGGTCACAGAGCAAGACTTCATCCTCAAAACAACAACAACAACAACATCATCATCATTATGGAAAAGGAGGCCTGTAAGGGGAGATCTTTCTGCCTGATTTTATACTACATTTGAAGCTGTATGAATGAGTCACTATTTCTAACTGCACCACCCTTAATGACTGGGAATTGAATGGAAAACCAGATACAGACATTAGAGCGTGTTTTATTCCATCATTGATTTAAAAATCTGAAATCAAGCTGAATGTCAGATTCTTCTAGCCATGGTCCGAATAGCCATCTCACAGAGACTGCTTTGTTCCTGTGGGGACTCTTACCAGCAGTTGTTTGAAGTTTTAAGGTTATAATTTTGCTCAGATGTAAGAGCTGAGCATTTGTTATCAGAGAAGATGGAGCCAAATTCTCCCACTGCACCAATTATTGTTAAATATTATATTTATTTTAAACATCACATGATGTATGTATTTGTTTTTCGGTAAAAGTTCAAGCAAAGATGCAGTTCAGGCATTAATACATGTTGGCCAGGCTGGTCTCGAACTCCTGCTCTGAAGCGATCCTCCTGCCTGGCCCTCTGAAAGTCCTGGGATTACAGTTGTGAGCAATCATGCCCGGCCCACATTTCTTTTTAATTCTTCGAAGCCAAAATGTAAATCGCCATTTCTTTCATGTAGGTTTGTAGAGATTCAATTGGTTTCTTTTTATAGACCATATTTCCCTGTTTCTTTGTATGTTTTATTGTCTTCTTTTGTGACTTCAGCATTTGAAAAATCAGCTGCCTCCCCAGATTTGGTGGCTCCTTTGTTCAGGGAGGACACTCCAATCAACTACCCTAGATTCTGGAGACTTCCCATGCTTTTTCTTGCTGGGGATTCTGCCCTCTCTGGGCCTTTGCTTGTCATCTCCCTATTGAAGAGGTTTGCGGCTTTCTAGTCAGAAGCTCCCCTATTTTCTGTGCTATTGTAGATAGACTCTAGTACTGCAGATATCTGTGGTACTAGATCTTCACCCTCGTGTCTTTCTGTGTTACTGCAGGCACTGGTTTATGTCAGTCATCTTTTTGCTCAGTGGCCCCTAACCTTTCATCCTGTTCTTTCAGTGCTACCACAGGAAGTCACCACTAGAGCAGTTGTCAGCCTAGCCATGGAGGCAGGGACACCTTAGAGAGCCCGTATTAGGGCAAGGTCAAGGGTAGCCCTGAAGCAGGACCACCCCTGAGAGTCCAGAGATGTAGAGTCACCAGTGTGTGATCGCAGCTCAGGAAACCACAGCCTGTGAGAACTTCCATGTGGAGTGATCCCAACAAAACTAATGGGGCAGGGATCCCCGGGACACTGGGGACCTAACTCCTACTCCAGGACGTCTAGAAGGTGGGACATAGAGTCAAAGAAGACTATTGTCAAGCCTTAAGATTTAATATGTGTGCCCTATTTGAGTTTCAGACTTAACATGGGAGCAGCTACCTCTTCTTTCCTGTTTCTGCATTTTGGAGTTGAAATATTTAACCTGTGTCTATGCCACCATTGGATGTTGGAAGCACTTAAGTCGTTTGATTTCACAGGTTCACAACTGGAGAGCGTTTGCCTCAGGATGAAGCACATGTTTGAGTCTCACCCATATCTGATTTAGATTATAGTTAGATGCAGCTGTAGACTATAGAGTTTGGAATTGGTAGTAGAAAAAGTTAAGACTCTGGGGGGCCATTGTGATGGAATGCATTTCGCATGTGAGGAGTACATGAATTTTGGTGGGGCAGGATGGAATGCTGTGGTCTGAGTGTTTTTCTCTCCTCCACAGTTCATTTGAAACTTAATCCCCAATGCCCAATCTCCAGGTATTATGAGATTTGGGTTTTAGTAGGTGATTGCATCACAAGGGTTCTGCCCTCATCAATGGAATATGGTGTTCTGGTCAATGAGATATCAAAATGCTTATCCTACGGAGTTCACTGCTTTTTGGCCCTTCTGTCCCTTCTGCCATGTGGGGACACAGCGTTCCTCCCCTCCAGAAAATGCAATAAGACACTATCTTGGAAGCAGGGATCATCCCTCAGCAGACATCAGTCCTGCTGGCACCTTGATCTTAACTTTCCCAGCCTGTAAATTATGAGAAATATATTTCTATTGTTCATAAATTACCCAGTCTTATTTGGTTATAGCAGCACAGAGAGACTAGTACGTTCTGTAACCCTAATGTAACTGTTTGATTGTTTTGATTCAACTCTTAATTCTCAGACATCTGGGTTCAGATGCTTGCTCTGCCATTTTCAGGTTGTTGACCTAGGCAAGTTTGTTAGCGAGTCTGTGGCACAGTAACATGGAACAAGTCTCTCTCTCATAGGCTATTATGTTGTTGTTTGAATTAGAACATGTAAAGCATTTGGAGTAATGCCCAGCACATGGGGAGTGTTCCAAAACTTTAGTCATTGCTGTTACTCTGGTCATCACAGTTTTTAGTTTATGACCTTCCTTTAAAGCTGCTGTAGACATTGTCATCTCTGAAAACACCACTCATATACTAGCTCACCTAGACAGTTGATGTATAGAACATAATATCTAACACTTTCTAAGGGATAACCATGTGTTCTTCTTATTTGTGTATTTCTTGCATTGTCCACAAAAAGAGAAATATACACTGATGTAGAGAATATAATAGTCTCCTATTGTATTTTGTAACAAACTAAAATTAAGCACCGTAACTTTCTCACAGATGCCTTTTATAGATATGTCAAAACACACACTTCAAAGTGATGTGATAGTTCTCTCCTCATTTTATGTAAACAAAAGAGCTCTCATATTGCTTCTTTTTGAAATGTGTTTTTCATTTCAGGGACCTTTGACATTCAAGGATGTGGCCATAGAATTCTCTCAGGAGGAGTGGAAATCCCTGGACCCTGTGCAGAAAGCTTTGTACAAGGATGTGATGTTGGAGAACTACAGGAACCTAGTCTTCCTAGGTGAGTATAATTTCATTCTAGAAGTTCAGATTTGCCTTCGTGCATTTTTGTATTTTCTCTGTTGTCTTTCTTGGGAACCCCTCCATTATTTGAGACTGAAGCCTTTTTGGTTCAAAAATAAAAAGCTTCTTAATGCTGCATCTGGCCTTTCACTGTCTCCTTTGTATATATATTCTGCGGCCTTCTTTGTACATCAGTGGTGGTTCCAGAGCTGAAGTTCGCAGAGAACTTTATGGCAGAGTTAAAATATCCAATTCCGTTTTCTGTCCATGTGCTTTTTTGTTTGTTTAAAACAGGTTCTTGCTCTGTTGCCCAGGCCGGAGTGCACTGGTGTGATCACAGCTCACTGCAACCTCTGTATCCTGGGCTCAGAGCAATCCTCCCACCTCAGCCTCCAAGTAGTTGGAATTATGGGTACCACCTCCAAGTAGTTGAAATTATGGGTACGCACCACCATGCCCAGGTAGAGACAGGGTTTTACTATGTCACTCAGGCTGCTGTTGAACTCATGGGCTCAAGGAATTCTCTGGTCTTGGCATCCCAGAGTGCCGATATTACAGGCTTGAGCCAGTATGCTTGGCCTATCCCTGTGGCCTATCCCTGACCCTGTGATCCGCCCGCCTCAGCCTCCCACAGTGCTGGGATTACAGGTGTGAGCCACCATGCACGGCCAAAGCTTATATTTTTTAAGTCCACATAATTTGTTTTAAGTGACCGCTACTTTCATCTGGTGCATTTTCATGTATTATAAGTGAACTTTGTTTTTATTTATTTAATAATCAGTTCCATATTTTTGAGGATACTCAGTTTTCCTTTGTTTCATGTTTCTTTTTGAGGTAGTGTTGTATTGGGGAATGTATATCATGTTATATATTTTACAAGATTTCTTTCTTTTACAGATGGTATAGTTCAGCAGCAGTTTCTCTAAAACTTACACAAACTCTGTAGTGTTGTAATAAGATAGTTTCAGTTATTCCTTTTACTCCCATTTCCCCTGACTTAATTCCTACTATTAAATTTGTTAATGAGACCGGGCGCGGTGGCTCACATCTATAATGCCAGCACTTTGGAAGGCCGAGACGGGCGAATCATGAGGTCAGGAGATTGAGACCATCCTGGCTAACACGGTGAAACCCCGTCTCTACTAAAAATACAAAAAGTTAGCAGGGTGTGGTGGCCGGCGCCTGTAGTCCCAGCTACTTGGGAGACTGAAACAGGAGAAGGGCGTGAACCCGGGAGGCGGAGCTTGCAGTGAGCTGAGATTGCTCCGCTGCAGTCCAGCCTGGCGGACAGAGCGAGATTCCATCTCAAAAAAAAAAAAAAAAAAAAAAAATTTGTTAATGAAATTGATTACAGTTCTTTTCATTGGAATTTTTTTTAATACCTTGAATATATTTTTAAAATATAGTTACTATCTTAATTGTAGAAATACCATGAAAGAGATTGGTCATACTTTGTTTTTTGTTTTTTGGGTTTTTTTGAGATGGATTTTCACTCTTGTCGCCCGTGCTGGAGTATAATGGCACGATCTCAGCTCACCACAACCTCCGTCTCCCAGATTCAAGCGATTCTCTTGCCTCAGCCTCCTGAGTAGCTGGGATTACAGGCATGTGCCACCACGCCTGGTTAATTGTGTATTTTTAGTAGAGGCGGGGTTTCTCCATATTGGTCAGGCTGATCTTGAACTCCCGACCTCTGGTGATCCGCCCATCTCAGCCTCCCAAAGTGCTGGGATTACAGATGTAAGCCACTGCGTCCAGCCTGGTCATACTTTGTTATATAAGACACATTGCTTTTCTGTAGTAAGTTTCAGTTTCCTAAATATAACTCGCTGGACTTTCTTTAAATCACCCTTTTTTTTTTTTTTTTTTTGGGAACAAAAGCTATATTATAATAATTATTCTCCAGTCTACTTTCATGTCCATCATGTTATACTGAATTATTATTTTCAAACCTTACTTTATTATACATGTAGCCCATTTCTTGCACTTCAAGGACTTCTCAACTGATGTTTATAAAACCTATGTATTTTTTTCCATCATGCTTAGGGAATGAGGAATAAATTTTTTTAAAAAATTGTATTTTATCCAGAAGTGTTTTTCCTAGGTTTTCTTCCAGGATTGTTGTAGCCTGGGGTCTTACATTTAAGTCTATATTCATCTTGAATTAATGTTTGTGTATGATGAGAGATAGGGGTCCAGTTTCACTCTTCGATATATGGCTAGCCAGTTTTTCCAGCACCCTGTATTGAATAGAATGTCTTACCTCAATTGTTTTTGTTGACTTCGTCAAAGATCAGTTGGTTGTAGGTATCTGGCTGTATTTCTGGGTTTCCTATTCCATTCCATTGGAGAGCTGTGGCTGTATTTCTGGGTTCCCTATTCTCTTCCATTGGAGATCTTCTATTTTAATGGAAGCATGTATATCTAACAATTTTCTATCTTAGCACTGTTTTCTCTGCATATATAAGTTTTGGTATGTTCTATTTTCATTTTCCTTTGTTTTGAGGTATTTTATCATTTCCTTTGAGATTTCCAATTTGGCATATTGACTGTTTAGGAATATGTTGTTCCCACGTATTTGTTGATACTCTAATTTTTTTTCTGCTGTTGATCTCTAGTTTTACTTTGTTATGATGGGATAAGTTATGCTTTATGATTTCTGTCTTTAAAATGTGTTAAACAGGTCAGGAGGGAAGAGGGCCAGCCCCTCCACAACCTGTGGGTGTTTCTCGTCAGGTGAGATGAGAGACTGAGAAAAGAAATAAGAGACAGAGACAAAGTCTCTGGGCCCAGGGGACCGGCGCTCAGCATACGGTGGCACTGGTCTCTGAGTTTCCTCAGTATTTATTGATCATTATCTCTACCATCTCGGAGAGGAGAATGTGGCAGGACTATAGGGTAATAGTGGGGAGAGGGTCAGCAGGAAAACATGTGAACAAAGGTCTCTGTGTCATAAATAAGTTTAAGGAAAGGTGCTGTGCCTTAATGTGCTTGCACAGAAACATCTCGGTGCAATAAAGAGCAATATTGCCACCAGCATGTCTCACCTCCAGCCCTAAGGCGGTTTTCTCCTGTCTTTGTAAATAGAACATACAATTGGGTGTTGCACTGAGACATTCTATTCCCAGGGACGAGACATTCTATTCCCAGGGACGAGCAGGAGACAGATGCCTTCCTTTTATCTCAGCTGCAAAGAGGCCTTCCTCTTTCACTGATCCTTCTCAGCATAGACCCTTTACTGGTGTCAGGCTGGGTGACGGTCAGGTCTTTCCCTTCCCACGAGGCCATATCTCAGGCTATCACATGGGGAGAAACCTTGGACAATACCTGGTTTTCCTGAGCAGAGGTCCCTGCGGCCTTCTGCAGTGTATTGTGTCCCTGGGTACTTGAGATTAAAGAATGGCGATGACTTTTACCAAGCATACTGCCTTCAAGCACTTTTTTAACAAAGCACATCCTGCACAGCCCTAAATCCATTAAACCTTGAGTCAACACAGCAGGTGTGTCTGCAAGCACAGGGTTGGGGCTAGCATTACAGATGAACAGCATCTCAAGGCAGAAGAATTTCTCTTAGTACAGAACAAAATGAGTCTCTTATGTCTATTTCTTTCTACATAGACACGGTAACAGTCTGATCTCTCTTTCTTTTCCCCACAAGGAGTTTGAGACCAGCCTGGCCAACATGGCAAAACCGCGTCTCTACTAAAAATACAAAAATTACCTTGGCGTGGTGGCGCGCACCTGTAGTCCCAGCTATTTGGGAGACTGAGTCAGGAGAATCGCTTGAACCTGGGAGGCAGAGGTTGCAGTAAACCAAGATCACGCCACTGCCTTCCAGCTTGGGTAACAGAGCGAGACTCAGCCTCAAAAAAAAAAGAAGTGTTAAAAAGTTTTATTTTTAAATATTTCTTTTGAAGAATGTTCCGTGTGGAGTTTGGAAAAAATTCTTTTGTGCTGTTTTTGGGTGATGTGTTATGCATATGTAGATTAGGTCCAATTTGACGTATAGTTTAGGTTGCCTAGTTACTTACTTTTTTTGTATCTGATTGTCCTATTTATAAAAGTGGTCCGTTGAAGTATTTTATTATTACTGTGGAAATTTTTCCCCTTTAGTTATGTTTCTCTTGCTTCATATATTAAGGATCTCTAATATTAGGTGCATATATATCTGTAATTGGTATATCTTCCTGGTGAATTAACCCTTTAATTATTATATAATGCCCTTCTTTGTCTCTTGTACCAGTTTTGACATAAAGTCTATTTTGACTGATATTGGTTTAGCCACCTCTGATGTCTTTCTGTTACCATTTATAAGGGATATCTTTTTTCATCCTTTCAGTTGAGCCTGTGTGTGTCCTTCAAATAAAAATGAATCTTTTGTGGATAGCATGTAGTTGGAGCCTATTTTTAAAATTCATTCAGCCAGTCTGTATCTTCTGATTGTGGAGTTTAAGCCACTTATAGTTAATGTAATGACTAATAGAGAAGGACTCACTGTTGCCATTTTGCAGAATGTTTCCTATATCTCTTAGATTTTTTTGTTCTTCATATCTGTTACTGCCTTTGTGTTTGTTTAGTTGATTCTTTCGTCTTGACATACTTTTATTTCCATTGTATGTGTCTTCTATACATTTTTTGTGGTTATCATTGCAATTACAGAAAACACTTTAGATTTATAACATCTTGTTTTAAACTGATAACAGTTTGACTTCAGTCACATACAAAAATGACTCCTTTACAGGTTTGCACCCATGTTATGTTTTTGATATCCCAGATTACTTCCATAAATACTGTGTCTCCATTAACATGTATTTAAACCTTGACAGCAGTTTCCTGCTTTCTTAGTTTTTTCAGACTAATATTTGCCTATTTTGCTAGGGTTTCTTCTGTACCCCAAGTCTCCTTAACATTGTTGTACTATCAATAAGGTTTTATGTTGTCTTTTTGTATGTGTACAAAATGAATTCATCCATCTCCTCTTCATGGCTGTTATCAAATTTTTTCTTCAGGATTATACTGTAGGAACTTTTTTTTCGCATCTCTCCTGATATGTAGGGTTGTTGAGCATATGCCTGGAAATATAACTCATGGGACATTCAATTTGATAAATTTCATAGCATATATTATAAAGACATAAGTCTGCTTTCTTCCCGTATCCTCACACTGCCTCCTTTTTAACTGTCTTCCCTTGTCCTGTGCACATAGTATAATTCCCATGTTTAAGTATTGGTCAGTATAATGCTATTCTAAATTAGTTTCTTTTTTCATCCAAAGTCAGGATTTTAACTGTTGCTTGTGAAATTATATACCCACAGCTCTGCAAGCACAAACACTGCTGCCCCATGCACATTACTCCTTGCCCTTTTCCTCTTGCCTTTTCTCTTCCCTGGCCTTTCCTAAAATAGTACTTTGTTCCAGACGGACTACCTGGCTACTTACTAGCATATTAGTTTTACACTCCCATTATTGCATAACTCCTTCACCTCCCACACTACTCTCACTCTGTAAGGGATGACCCTACTCATCCACTTGATCACTTCTTTTTTTTTTGAGATGGAGTCTTCCTCTGTCTCTCAGGCTGGAGTACAGTGGTACGATCTTGGCTCACTGTAACCTCCGCCTCCCAGGTTCAAGCAATTTCCTGCCTCAGCCTCCCAAGTAGCCGGGACCTGCCACCACACCCAGCTAATTTTTGTATTTTTAGTAGAGATGGGGTCTCACCATCTTGGCTGGGCTGGTCTTGAACTCCTGACTTTGTGATCCACCTGCCTTGGCCTGATCACTTTCTGAGAACACTGCCTAAATCATTATATGCAGGGAATGATGACTCAGATACTGTTATTCATGGGGATGGCTGAATAATGCTTTTGGCAACACAGCATGGATCTTGAAGTATTTCTTTCTACACTGTTAGTATTTGGGGTGACCTGTTATCTGCAGAACCTGCTTGGGCAGTTTTTGAAAAAAAAAAAAAAAACAGTGTTTGATCCTGCAAAGGTAGGTGCATATCTTACTTTCTTTGTAAATTGGATGTAAACATGTAAATCCCGTGGGCATACTTTGCTTGTGTGTTAAATAGTGATAATTTACCTCAAGACTTTTTAAACAAGTTAGTACTGTTAGCTAGTCTAGAAATTGTGTTTTTTAGTAAAGACTCACAGATTTCTTTGTTAAATAAAGCATATCAATACTGTTCCATGTTTATAATGAGATAGCATATTGGCTTCACCTTAGTCAGCATGGCTACCTATAGTAGATATTGTAGATTGGGTGGTTGAAACAACAGAAATTCACTTTTCACAGATCTGGGTGATGAGAAGTCTAACATGTCAGAACCACCATTTTGGGTCTTGGCATGGGCCCTTTTTCCGGTTTACCATGACTTTCTCTTTCTGTGTCCTTACGTGGCAGAGGACCTAACTGCCTCCCAAAGACCACACTTCCAAGTACTATCACATTGAGGATTAGGTCCTCAACATAGGAATTTTGGCAGACGTAAGTCTTTATATCAAAGCAGCCTTCATTGTATCTGTAAGTTTTCATTTTGTAGTTTCTTCCAAACAATGTTTGTTGTCTTTTATCTTAGTTCATATGCTTTTCAAGTAGAATCTCTGTATGATATATATTTTGTGGCCAGTTAATTAGGTAATTAGAGGCAATGAATAGGACCAGGTGTGGTGACTCATGCCTGTATGTGATCCTGGCACTTTGGGAGGCTGTGGCAGGCAGATTGCTTGCCCTCAGGAGTTTGAGATCAGCCTGAGCAACACAATAAAACTCTGTCTCTACCAAAACTACAAAAAAATCAGGTGGGCATGGTGGTGAACATCTTTGGTCTCAGCCATTTGAGAGGCTGAGGTGGGAGGATTGCTCGAGTCTTAGAAGTGGAGGTTGCAGTGAGGCAAGATTATGCCACTTCACTCCAGCCTGGGTGACAGAGTGAGACTCCATCTCAAGAAAAAAGCACAATAGATAGGGAGTTGCTGTGTTGATTGTTACATAGTTGTAGGCATGAAGTCATAGTCAGTATTTCTGACTTCCTGCCCCACTTTTTATTCTATATTATGTTGTATATTTACCGTCCTCCCATCCAAGTAGTAACCAGGTCTGACACTGTTTAGCTTCTGAGATCAGCTGTGTTCCGGGTGGTATGGCCAAAGACATATTTATCTTTCTTTTATCTTTAAAAGTCAGTGATCTCAACATATTTTCTAGTTATCATATGCTGTCTCTAGAATATACGTTCTTGCTTATTATAAAGGGAGAATTGTTTAGAATTTCATACTATAAATTTGTATATTTGCATATGATGCAAATTTGTATATACAATATACAAATTTATAGTATGGAATTCTAAATATAATGTATATTGTATTTTACTTACGTGCTGGTTTTATCTGGGTTATTAGAGTGTTTTATTTATTAATTTTTATGATAATTATTAATTAGTTGAACTTGTGAATATTTACTGTTACACTGTATCTTGCTGTAGTTTGACATTTGTTTGTACACAGCAAATATGAAGTGAACATATATAACTTTTATTCTCTTATGAGAGAGCCACGTTTTCTGCCAATTGGTGTGTAATTTGGTGTCATTGGTTGCAAAATACTTGTTTTAGTGCCAATATATGTTTGCACAACATAAATCTTTTGGTCATAGGATGTTTGAAACTAGGCTTTCCTAAATAATTTGAATTACATGTAGTCATCCTTTCTTTACTATAGACTTCTACTCATTTTGTATTTCTAAAAATAAAAGATCATGGTGGAGAACTTTCACACCTGTCTGGTATAAACATTATGGTTAGTGTAGTATGTTTCCAATATAAAGTATTTATCAATAGTAGTTATTTTTAAAAAACTCATGTTCATTATATTTTGCAGGTATCTCTCCTAAATGTGTGATCAAGGAATTACCACCAACAGAGAACAGTAATACAGGAGAAAGGTTCCAAACAGTGGCACTGGAAAGACATCAAAGCTGTGATATTGAAAATTTATACTTCAGGGAAATACAGAAACATCTATATGACCTTGAATTTCAATGGAAAGATGGTGAAACAAATTATAAAGAAGTGCCAGTGCCCCATGAAAACAATCTTACTGGTAAAAGAGATCAACATAGTCAAGGGGATGTAGAAAACAATCATATTGAAAACCAGCTTACATCAAGCTTTCAGTCACGTCTGACCGAACCGCAGAAAGTTCAAACTGAAGGGAGAATGTTTGAATGTAATCAAACGGGGAAGACAGGTAATAACGGTTGCTTAGTTTCTCCACACATTAGGGAAAAACATTATGTATGTAATGAGTGTGGCAAAGCCTTTAAAGCATCTTCCAGCCTTATTAATCATCAGAGGATACATACTACAGAGAAACCTTACAAATGCAAAGAGTGTGGCAAAGCGTTTCATCGGGCCTCACTACTAACTGTACATCAGGTAGTCCATACAAGAGGGAAATCATATCAATGTGATGTATGTGGCAAGATCTTCAGAAAAAATTCATATTTTGTAAGACACCAAAGGAGTCACACTGGACAGAAAGCCTACGTGTGTAATGAATGTGGTAAGTCCTTTAGTAAAAGTTCCCACCTTGCTGTTCATCAGAGAATTCATACTGGTGAAAAGCCTTACAAATGTAATCTGTGTGGGAAATCCTTTAGTCAGCGTGTCCATCTTAGACTTCATCAGACAGTTCATACTGGAGAGAGGCCCTTCAAATGTAATGAGTGTGGCAAAACCTTTAAACGGAGCTCAAATCTCACTGTACATCAGGTAATCCATGCAGGAAAGAAACCATATAAATGTGATGTATGTGGTAAGGCATTCAGACATAGATCAAATCTTGTATGTCACCGGAGAATCCATAGTGGAGAGAAACAATACAAATGCAATGAATGTGGCAAGGTCTTCAGTAAACGTTCAAGTCTTGCAGTGCATCGGCGAATTCACACTGTAGAGAAACCTTGCAAATGCAGTGAATGTGGCAAGGTCTTCAATAAACGTTCAAGTCTTGCAGTGCATCAGAGAATTCATACTGGACAGAAAACTTACAAATGCAATAAATGTGGCAAGGTCTACAGTAAGCATTCACGTCTTGCAGTGCACTGGAGAATTCATACCGGAGAGAAAGCTTATAAATGCAATGAATGTGGCAAAGTTTTCAGCATACATTCACGACTTGCAGCGCATCAGAGAATTCATACTGGAGAGAAACCTTACAAATGCAATGAATGTGGCAAGGTCTTCAGTCAACACTCACGTCTTGCAGTGCATCGGAGAATTCATACTGGAGAGAAACCTTACAAATGCAAAGAATGTGGCAAGGTCTTCAGTGACCGTTCAGCTTTTGCAAGGCATCGGAGAATTCATACCGGAGAGAAGCCTTACAAATGCAAAGAATGTGGCAAGGTCTTCAGTCAATGTTCACGTCTTACAGTGCATCGGAGAATTCATAGTGGAGAGAAACCTTACAAATGCAATGAATGCGGCAAGGTCTACAGTCAATATTCACATCTTGTAGGGCATCGAAGAGTTCATACTGGAGAGAAACCTTACAAATGTAATGAATGTGGCAAAGCCTTTAATCAGGGCTCCACACTGAATAGACATCAGAGAATTCATACCGGAGAGAAACCTTACAAATGTAATCAGTGTGGGAATTCCTTTAGTCAGCGTGTCCATCTTAGACTTCATCAGACTGTTCATACTGGAGACAGACCTTACAAATGTAATGAGTGTGGCAAAACCTTTAAACGGAGCTCAAACCTCACTGCACATCAGATAATTCATGCAGGAAAGAAACCATATAAATGTGATGAATGTGGCAAAGTATTCAGGCACAGTTCACATCTTGTAAGTCACCAGAGAATCCACACTGGAGAGAAAAGATACAAATGTATTGAATGTGGCAAGGCCTTTGGGCGGTTGTTTTCCCTCAACAAACACCAAAGAATTCATTCTGGCAAAAAACCTTATAAATGTAATGAGTGTGGAAAATCTTTTATTTGTCGCTCAGGCCTCACTAAACATCGAATAAGGCATACTGGAGAGAACCTTACAACTAAACTCAATGTGACAAGGCCTTAGACGTTGTCCTAGTTTCTAGAATCACTGAATAATTCATACTTACTGTTATAGCTTGTATATTTTTCCCTTCTCTTGAAATCCCTGTGGAATTGTAATCTCCACTATTGGAGGTGGGGCCCGTTGGGAGGTGATTGGATCATGGAAGTGGATTTCTCAAATTGAGAAAGATTTAGCATCATCCCCTTGGTGCTGTCCTGGCAATAGTGACTTCTCTTGAGGTCTGACTGTTTAAAAGTGCATAGCACTTCCCTGTTGTTTGCTCTCATTCTCACCATGTGAAATACCTATACCCCCTTTGCCTTCCACCATGATTTTAACCTTCCTGAGCCTTCCCTAGAGGGTGATCGGATGCCAGCACCATGTTTCCTGTTAAGCTTTCAGAAGTGTGAGCCAATTAAACTCTTTTCTGTATACATTAGCCAGCCTCAGGTATTTTTTTGTAGCAATGCAGTTATGACCTAATACATTTACACATGCAGTAAATATAGCTAAGTTTTAAGCTAGTGTTCACTACTCACTGGGTGTAAGAATATGTATACATATTCCAGGATGTATGCATACTGGAGAAAAATCACAGAAGCATAATACGTGTGGCAAGAATTCTACTCAAAAGCCAAAACTTGTGAATCTAGGTAATTCAAAGGGATGTATGAAATGAAATGAGGGTGGCAAAACCTTTAGTAGAGTTCAATCACTACTTGTCATAAGAGAGTTTATACTGATAGGAAATCATATAAATGTATGTGTCAGAGGCTTTCCCCAGGCATCAGAACTCACTAGGCATCAGAATATACATCTTTGAGAGGAACCACAGAAACGTAATGTGCATGCTAAGGCTTTTACCCCAACATCAAAATGGAAACAGAGTATTCATACTAGAGAGCAACCTTACAAATGTAACAAATGGTTTTAAAAAATGAAATGTTCAAAGACCTGGAATCAACCCAAATGCCTATCCGTGATAGACTGAATAAAGAAAATGTGATACACATGCAACATGGGATACTATGCACCCATAGAAAGGAATGAGATCATGTCCATTGCAGGGACGTGGCTGGAGCTGGAAGCCATTATCCTCAGGAAACTAACAGAGGAACAGAAAACCAAACATCACATGTTCTCACTTGTAAGTGGAAGCTGAACAATGAGAACACATCAACCCAGGGAGGGGAGCAACACACTGGGGCCTGCCGATGGGGGTGGGAAGGTCAGGGAAGTGGAGCATCAGGAAAAATCGCTAATGCATTTTTGCCTTAATACCTAGGTGATGGGTTGGTAGGTGCAGCAAACCACCATGGCACATGTTTTCCTGTGTAACAAACTTGCAAATTGTGCACATGTACCCAGGAACTTAAAGTGAGACAAAACTAATGTCCATGCCTTTGCAGTTTGATTGAATGTATAGAGGTGAAAAATCCTGTAAGTATGCTGAACATGAAAGGAACTGTAAGCAGTAGTGTGTCTTCAGGCTTTACCAAATTATTCCTATTTCCTATTTGAGAGGAAACTTGGAAATGTAATCAATGCGGCACAGCCATTATTCACAGGTAAGATCTTAGCACACTGCAGCCTCAAAAAGTGGTCCTCCCACCTCAGCCTCCAGACTACCTGAGACTACAGGTACATGCGATTGTGTCTAGCTTACAGCTTCTCTGAGATATCCAAGTTGCAAGCCTCACTACTTTTGTGCTTTGGGGCCTTTATTAAGTAAAATAGGAGATACTTGAACACAAACACCACAATACACTTTAACAATGCTAACTGAGATGACTACTAAGTGACTGAGAGATGGGTAGGTTATTCTGTGTGGCTACACTGTATAAAGGGATGATTTATGTCGTGGGCAGAACAATGTGAGATTTCATCACATTAGTGAGAGCAGTGCACAGTTTAAAATTTCTGAGTTACCTTTTTTGGGAATATTCCATTTAATGTGTTTGGATCACAGTTGCCATGGGTAATTAAAATCGTGGAAAGTGAAACTGCAGATAATGTGGGATGACTGTACCAATATGTTAGGGGGAGGGAGCCAGCTGGTTGTGAGATGTAAGTTTGTGATTCTGAGATAGCAGCTTTGCAAAAAACTGCAATTCGTCAGTTCACCAATATTGATAATAATGGTGCAAGCTTGGTGAGCTAAGAATGTTCCTGAAAACCTTTGTTCCCACTGCCAATTCCTGGGGACAGTTATGGGTTCCTAATGACATCACCACAAAGACACTTTGGAGTGTTTGGTAAAGGCTATTTCTTTTCAATGATTGCTGGAGGCAGACGGGATCAAATAAAAATAGAACATTGTGGGCTCCCAAGGCTGAGGTGGAGCTGGAGGACGCCAGCCAGACTGTGGAGCAGCAGTCTCCTTGTGCACGTGCCTGAAGTCCGCGTGGGTGTTTGAGGAAGTGGGGATACAGCATTTAATGGAAAATGGATGCTTAAGAAGTAAAAAATGGCAGGCTTCCTAGATAGTTTTCATTGGCCAGAATATGAATGTATTGACTGGGGTGAGAGAAGGAATGCTGTGGCGTCTGTTGTAACAGGTATATTGTTTTTTACAGGCTGGTGGATAATGACGCAGCTGTGGTGTATCGTAGGCCAGAACAGTTGAACCATGCCTTTCACACATGTGGTGTATTTCCCACATTGGCTTTCTTCATGATAAAAATGCTGTATCCAATGCTCAGGTGACAGATGATAGCTGTGAAAGAGGCTGTTGAGGAAGAACAGGTGCTTGAGTTTGGCTTTTCATTGGTTTTGTGTCGATGTTTGGGGTACTTATTGCTTCCATGTGGATTCTTTTTGGTGCATATGTTACCCAACCACTCTGATCTACAAATTTGGAAGAACTGAAGAGCTATGGACCTGAGATCACTTCTTAAATCACATTTTCCTTGTGTTATATTCTGTTTGTAGGTAAATTTTTATCTCGGTACACATTGCCAAATGGAGTAGCTTGTACATTAAATGTTTTGTTTCTTTACATTTTTATGTTGTGTTTTTTTGTTTTGGTTTTTTGTTGTTGTTGTTGTTGAGATGGGGTTTTGCTCTTATTGCCCAGACTGGAGTGCAGTGGCATGATCTTGGCTCACCACAACCTCTGCCTCCTGGGTTCAAGTGAGTCTCCTGCCTCAGCTTCCAAGTAGCTGGGATTACAGGCATGCACCACCACACCCAGCTAATTTTGTATTTTTAGTAGGGACAGGGTTTCTCCATGTTCGTCAGGCTGGTCTCGAACTCCCAGCCTCAGATGGTCTGCTCGCCTCCGCCTCCCAAAGTGCTGGGATTACAGGCATGAGCCACCACGCCTGGCCTATGTTGTGTGTTTTTAAAGTTTTATGAAATTTATGTTCTTCATTTTTCACTGCATAGACTGTTAATACATATATAATACAAGATTATATGGATTGGATAATGAGTATCTGTTTTTTATTCCCGAGATTTAGAACTTCACCTGTTCCCTGAGCCAGAGTTATATCATCATGTCATTTTAGAAGTAACCACTCTCTCTCTGGCCAGACGCAGTGGCTCACGCCTGTAATCCCAACACTTTGGGAGGCCGAGGTGGGTGGATCACCTGAGGTCAAGTTTGAGACCAGCCTGGCCAATATGGCAAGACCGTGTCTTTACTAAAAATAGAAAAATTAGCTGGGCGTGGTGGTGGGCGCCTGTAATCCCAGCTACTTGGGAGGCTGAGGCAGGAGAATCATTTGAACCCTGCGGGCAGAGGTTGCAGTGAGCTGACATTGCACCACTGCACTCTAGCCTGGGTGACAGAGTGAAACTCCGTCTCAAAAAAAAAAAGTAACTGCTCTCTCTCAGTATCTCTAATTTCTGAAGATGCGCAAAAAATATAGCTTCATATAGCTGGAATGAGCACTGAGCCATAAAAGGTATTTCAGCAAGTTGTAATTTATTTTGGCCTAAATATGAGGTTTTTTTGTGAAGGGAAAATGTTTGTTCTTATGTATGGAAGAAGTGTACATTTATATAATGATTTTTTAAATGCCCAAAGGATGAGTTTGAAAACCTCTTTTAAAAAGAATTCCTCTAACATGACCTTATGTGAGAAGGTCATACTCTTTTACATGATCAAATAAACTCAGTTTTTTAATGATTATTGTAAAAACACTGTGTAAGGCAGCTTAGCACCATGCTTCTCATAAAAGCAGCTTAAATTATCCACTGGGGTTATCGTTTGACAACCTGCCATTGTCTGGTGTTATACAATTCAATAGCAAGCAAGTTTGAGGCAATTTAAAAAGTGGAATAATTAAAGATAAGGCACTTCTTCCCAAAGGAAATTATCACCTAGTGAAAAATTAGACATTTCATCTACTCAGTTACTGACTGCAAGTCTTTCTTCGCTCTAGCTCAAGCTTTGGGTGAATGTTCCTGCGAAATATATCTTGAACTTGAAAGTTCATACTCTAGTCAAAAACTCCTTTTACTGAGTTTGCAGTACTGTATTTGCACTGTGTGTATTTCTCTGGACCTTTATTGCTACTTTTGCTTTCCTTTGTTACACAGATTTTGTGTTGCACTTTTGTCTCCAGAGGGGTATTGTAGAGCCTTGGTTGTATGAATAATAGCAGTGGTAGTGTCCACAGCTCCAGTGCAAGCCCATTTGGCATCACTCCTCTCCTCTTTCTGAGAGGATTTATTGTGTGCAGAGTATGAAGCAGTTGTGGAGCGCTGTGTCTCTGTCAGGATACCATCTTGTTTGATAACATCTTTCTTTGTTGTCTTTCCTTGAAAATGTCAGTAAGCTCTGTTATGCTTCCAGCAAATTGTAAGACTATTTGTTTCCACCCTTATAACCTGTTGCAATACATATTATTTCTCATACATTTTAATATTGTTTGTTGCAGAAAACAAACCATAAAAATTCATTTGCTGTTCAGTTTTCAATTAAAAAAAAAAGAAATAAGGCCGGGTGCGGTGGCTCAAGCCTGTAATCCCAGCACTTTGGGAGGCCAAGACGGGTGGATCACGAGGTCAGGAGATCGAGACCATCCTGGCTAACACGGTGAAACCCCGTCTCTACTAAAAAAATACAAAAAAGTAGCCAGGCACAGTGGCGGGCGCCTGTAGTCCCAGCTACCCGGAGGCTGAGGCAGGAGAATGGCGTAAACCCGGGAGGTGGAGCTTGCAGTGAGCTGAGATCCGGCTACTGCACTCCAGCCTGGGCGACAAAAACGAAACTCCGCCTCAAAAAAAAAAAGAACATTGTTAATTTCTGAGACTTGATGGACGGTAATATGGAAAATCTTTTCTTTTGCCTATTTATCTGTGCATCTACACTGGTGAAATTTCTTCTCATGTTTTTAACCTATTTTCTAATTCAATTTTTTTTCTATGATATACTTTACTTTGTAGAGCAATTTTTGGTTTCCAGCAAAATTTAGTGGAAGGTACAGAGATTTCCTATATAGCTCCTTCCCCCACATATGCATAGACTTCCCCATTGTCAACATCCTCCACCAAAGTGGTAGATTATCACCCAACATCCCTAGTTTATACTTGGCTCACACTTGTACATTGTGTGGGTTTGGACAACTGTAAAATGGCACATATTTACCATTATGGTAACATACAGAGTACTTTGACTACCCTAATAATCCTCTTTGCTCAATCTAAATTTGTATATTTCTTTCACTTCTGTCACTGTTGCTTCACGTTTTGCAGCTGTTTTTTAGTGCATACGCACTGATGGTTCTGAAATCATCTTTGTAAGTTAACATTTTTATCATGTAATCTCCCTGTTTTTCCGTGGTATTTTTATTTTCTCTGAAGATTACTTCTTTTGTTCCAGTCAGTTTAGCAAGTTTATTTTGCCAAAGTTAAGGATGCTTGCCTGTGACACAGCCTTAAGAGTTTCTGGCCATATATACCCAAGGTGGTCGGGGTGCAGCTTGGTTTTATACA